CAGGGAGCCCGATGTGGGACTCGATCCCGGGACCCCGGGATCATGACCTGAGCCGAAGGCAGACGCTTAACGACTGAGCCACCCAGGCGCCCTTGTTGGTACTTTTAGTCACATAAATAAAATGGGGGAAAATGGCCAAAAATCTTCAGGTGACATAACTCATAAAATGTGGACCCAGCAATAAAGCATTATTTTTCTGATTTCAAAGTTCATTTTCTTTCCCCTGTATCAATGCCACCCCAGAATTTAGATCATTTTTGAGTTTTGAAATGGATACTTGGGAGGAGAGAAGTATGGGTGAGTTGGAAGTAGTAGAGAGGAGGTGAGAAGCAGTTAAAAAGGCCATGTTGTCTTAGTTAAAAGAGTTTACAAACTGACAAAACACAGTGTTAGCAGGGTATTTTAACCAGTGAGGATTTATTAAAAGCCAGGGGGGTGCACCAGGCACAGTTCTTGTCCAGCAGGCTAACAAATAACAAAAGATGTAACCAATTCATTTATTAGCTTATCTGATTAAACAAAATACATTTCATAGAAATGATTATAAAATGCATTGCCAATAGAAACAGAATATCATTTATATTACAGATCTTATGGTACCTAAATAATTATTAATAAAACCAGCCATCCCATATCGTAAATAGAAGTTAGGAAACCACCAGTTACTTCTTTTAGTCAGTAAAAGAGAGAAGCATGCATTTGTCATGCTGAGAGGGGTTTCAGCATTCCATATAGGCATCCTGTTTCAAAACTGTAACATAGTCCACCTATAAACTTAAAAATTCAGTGTTTTTCATCCAGTATCAAATCATATTGTACTTTTTGGTTTAAAGATTAGTTTTGGTTTCAGAGTAAGTTTAATTTAGTACTTCAGTCACATGTGGTCATAGATTCTTGATCTGGGGTGGGTGATGATCAGTCCAATTAAGTATTAGTTACAGGAACAAAACAAAACATAAACAGGATTATTTTTAATCTGTTTTGTGGTATTCCTGCCCATCCTGAATTGAGAAGATACACAGGGTGATTTCAAGCAGAACAGAACGAGAGAAGAGCGGAAAAGAAAAAATGCTGGTGTTTGTTTGAGGCAAGTCTGTTTTGGAAGAGTCAGGGCTAATTCTTGAAAGGACCGTATCAGGTTTTTGGCACATGATCTATCCCTTAGTTCGAAGGCTGGTTCAGAGGGGTGTAAAGGAGAGAAAAGGAGCACAGAAAAGACTAAGAAGGCACGGAGTGGAGTGTGTTTGCTGACACAGGAGAACCGTGGAACCACGATCATCCGAGAGAGTGTCCACCAGGCCCGTCCTGAGACCTCCAGAGATGGGTCTGTGTTCAGGCGGCAGCACTGAGAACTTCCTCAGAGACAGAGGGTCAATGTTTATTGCACAGGAACCAGAATTATCCCGCCCCCACCCCTTGCTGAGCTGGAGACCTTCAAGTGCAAACATGGCTGGGGATGCCGGTCGGCCCGCTCCTCTGGCCAGCAGGGAGCGCTCCGCCAGAATGCCGAGGGGAACACCTTCTTCAAAGGGAAGCTTGAGGTATCATGTTGGCCTGAACAATCCGGTCTGTCAGTCACCATTCTCAAGCAGCTTCTGTAGGTTGTTTTGTATCTGGAAATAATGAGAAGAGAAGTTCCTGTTACTAAATAGAATGGAGTCTATCAAGGGCCCGTTTGCCATGACGTGTGTAATGTTCGAGATGAATCTATTCTACCTTGAATAAAAAGCCACTGGGGCGCCTGGGTGGCTCAGTCCTTAAGCGTCTGCCTTCAGCTCAGGTCATGGTCCCAGGGTCCTGGGATCCCCTGGGTCCCGCCCCTGCTCGGCGGGAAGCCTGCTTCTCCCTCTCCCACTCCCCCTGCTTGTGTTCCTGCTCTCTCTCTGTCAAATAAATAAAATCTTAAAAAAAAGAGGGCTCCTTTTAGTGTTAGAGCATTGTGTTAAACCAAGAATATATATATATTAAATAATAAAAAAAAAAAAAAAAAAAAGCCACCCCCTGGGTTCAATTTAGATCAGGCAAATGCTGCTTAATGGATTCCAACTCCGTTGATAATCCACTTTAAAATGAAAAAAAAAAAAAAGAGGGCTAAAAAGGAAGAGTGGCACAAAGATGAAAGTGTCAGGAAAGACCAAGAGAAATCAGATGGAAGGAAAAGAACAAAGCCTTGGCAACACCAAGGGTGACCTAAATGCAGAGATAATGGGAAACCGATCCTTACAGAGCCTGTGTGTCATGTGGTGTCTGATTCAAACCATCAATGTTTAACACTCCTATTAGATATTACCCATTTCCCAGAAGACTGAGTTTCAAGGCCCAGGGTCCGTGACGTATCTTTGGATCTCGAGACTACAGTACAGTGTTGGGCATCAAAAACGTGCTCAGTAGATGTTTGTTGGGTAAGTGAACTTTCAAGAATTCTGAGCAAGGAATTCTCAACAAGCAATACTGTGATGGGAGTGAGGAACCCCACGGAAGAAAAGAAAGATTATATATATATTTTTATTTGAGAGGGCACAAGCATGAGTTGGGGGAGGGGCAGAGGGAGCGAGGATCTCAAGCAGACTCCCCACTAAGGGGAACCCAATGCGGGGCTCGATCTCAGGACCCTGAGATCATGACCTGAGCAAAAAGGCAGACCCTTAACAGACTGAGCCACACAGATGCCCCAGAAACCAAACATCTGTAAGCATGTCATGAAACATAAAGAAATTCTCTTCAATTCTCAGCAACTCACATTTTAGAAAAGAAAACACTTTGGGTGGCTACACCCGACCTTCTCTAGGATGATTTTGGGTTAAAAAAAAAAAGTTTCCAAGTTTGTCCACAGGTTCAATAGGAATTCTAGGTCATCCTTTGGTTTAGAACTGAACTTTGGAAACTCCTTCGCGCTCAATACTTCAGTAGCTGAATGCTAACTACCATTTAGTCTAGCAAAACCAACCTCATTTGGCTCATTTGTATTTCACATTTTTTAAAAAAGATTTTATTTATTTGACAGAGAAAGAGAGGCACAGTGAGAGAGGAAACACAAGCAGGAGGAGTGGGAGAGGGAGAAGCAGGCTCCCCACTGAGCAGGGAGCTCGATGCGGGGCTCGATCCCAGAACCCTGGGATCATGACCCGAGCCGAAGGCAGACGCTTAACGACTGAGCCACCCAGGCGCCCCTGTATTTCATGGTTCTTACCGAGTAATCATGACTACACTGTTAGGGGAACCCACCACATGCTGGGCGTTTGTAGTAACAGTTTGAACTGAACCCTGCACTTGAAACCTTTCCTTAAGGTTTAGGGCAGAAACAAACCACCAGATGGAAGAGATAGACATATACTGGAAGGAGAAGTGAAGAAATGTTAATTAGGTTTAACTCTGGGCCCTTTCTCCTGTGCCCATCTTCCTGTCCGCCCTCCTCCTGGCTTTGAAGAATGACAGAGGCTTCAGGACAGATTTGCTCGAGAACTGCCCTACTGTTCGTTAGATACTTCTAGAGGGTAAAGGTACATCAGTGGCTTTCCTGGCAAGGCCTCAGGTTGGACTGTGAGGAGCCCCAAACACAACTTTGGAATCCGACCTGGTTCAAATTCCAGATCTGCCAACTTTCTCCGCGTGTCTCCTTGAGCCAGTTACTTGGAAACTTGGACTCTTCGTCTGTCAGAAGAGTGACATCCATCTGGCAGGGTTCTAACAGAGACTGAACACAGTATTTCACGTATGGCAGCCATCAGCCTGGGTGCGGCTGGCTGTGTCCCTCCACTGAGCCCTGGGTCAGCGGCCACTGGCTGTCGGGCCCTTGTGGTGGACAGAAATCTTTCTAAGGAGGAAAAGCCAAAGACACACCCACAAGGAGAATGAGACTGAAACCAATTTCTTGGTGGAAATAAAAAAATAAAATACTCTTTCCTATTTACCGTGACATCCCCTGGCTGGGTTTTTGGTCACACAGGCTGTGTTTGCGTGCGTAACCCCTGCTCTCTGGCCGTCAAGAGGCACTTATGGCTCCCGCCCCAACCCAGGAAATAAATGAGTCACCTTTTCTAATTTCATTATGTTAGCCGTCAGCTGTTGGCAGAGGACCTCCACATTTAACTGTACTTGTGACCCCAGGCCAGATGGTGCTGTCTGTCTGCAAGAACAAAGAGAAAAATGATTGTGGGCAGCGGATGGCAGAGGAAGAAGTAGAATGAACACATTTTAAATTTATCTGAACAGAAAACTCGGTTACAGTAGTCGAGCATGAGCCTTTCACTTGTTAACGTCGGGAAGGCCCTGTCGTAATCCCCCAAGGCAGACTGGACGGTAGTCCCCCCAAGGCTGACTGGACGTGCATCTTAAGAGCTCAGCTGGATGTCTCTTGAGCTGTTTTCGTTGAAGTGGCAGTGTTATGCCCTGGCTTCCGAACAAAAAAATCAGGCGATTCTGCTCAAGTACATAGTTTCTTAGACCTCTTGGTCCCCTCGGATCCTCACTGTCCCCACCGGAGCAGAAATGGGCAAGAATTATTGCTCTTCTCAGTCACAGGCTTATTTCTCATGGGAGGAGGGACCCTTTACACAGACTCTTTCAGAATGTATAGGAATTTTAGTCAAATTGCTGCTCAAGTGTGAGACTTTTGTAGTTTTTTTTTTTTTTTTTTGAGACTTGCCATGCCCATGTAACTGCCCTTGTCTTATAATGGAACATGTATTCATTGTGCATTTCTTGGCTGTAATTTATTTAGCCATTAAGTTTTTGGGTGGCAGTGATGGGTCTAATTATTTTACGCAGGTACTTGGTGAATGACTGATGATCGTCTAAACATTAAGAAAGCAATCAGATGTTTTTCTGTTTACCCTTACTAAAAATAAACAATTCCTTCTTTATCCCTGAGCCACACCATCAAAATCTTAGATCCCAAACAGGAACCTGAAGGGGAATCTTTCGGTGTCTAGAGGCAAGAACGGAGACCCACAGAGCTGATGGGTCAGCATGTAATTCTGACAGCATACAAGCTACGGACACACTAACAAAGCCCGTAAAAGGTATGGATTCTGCGACAACTAACCAACCCACTTACAAGTGCGGGTCTAGCTACTGGGCAGCATGGCTGGATCACCTTGGCAGAGAGAGAGACATGGGAGAAGCTCAGGTCCTATAAATTACTTTATGAACATCTTCTTCCTGTCATGGGTGTTCCTGGTCTCGTGTCATAAATAATCCTTGTGATTTTTCCTTCAAATGATAATTTTTCAGATTGTACTTCTCCCTAAGTTGATTATTTAAAGAGTGGACTGAATATTCCTTTTGTCCTTGTTCGTGGAGTTTCCCCCCTCATCATCACCAAGTTAACATATGATAATAGGACATGAGGTACATTTTTGTGTAAAAAAAAAAAATCAACCCTATATATGATAGTGAACTAGGAGGGCATGCTAGATTAGTGTAGAAAAAGTATGTTAACATTTTTTTTTTAAGATTTTATTTATTCATTTGAGAGAGAGGCAGAGGGAGAGGGAGAAGCGGACTCCCCGCTGAGCTGGGAACCTGACATGGGGCTCGATCCCAGGACCCTGAGATCATGACCTGAGCCGAAGGCAGACGCTTAACCATCTGAGCCACCCAGGCGCCCCTGTATGTTAACATCTTGAACAAGATGGGAGAGAGTAAGGGTATAAATCTGTTCTAGACTGTTCTTTATGTTTCCATATTATTGGCTCAAAGGTATATATTATGGTTCAAAAAGAACCTGTATGCCAGCAGACGTGTAAGCCACGGAACAAGACTTTTAGGTAGTTGTTTGAGCATAAAGAGGCCCTAGAATGGTATAGTCTAATAGTTCTCCAAGTGTAGAACCAGGCTGGCACCATCAGCATCACCTGGGAACTTGACAGAAATGCAAATTCTCGGGTCCTCAGTTCTAGTTCATCAGAAACTCTGGGGATGGGCCCTGCAATCTGTTTTAACAAGCCATCCAGATGATTCCGAAGCACACTCTAAACAGCCTAATCCAATTCCTAGACTTTGACTTTACAACCAAGTCATTGGTAGACTGGAAAGCCTGTCCTCCGTGTAGTCATACAGATGTGCATCTGAATCCTGATTTTATTACAAACTGTATGACATTAAATTATTTATTTGGTCTCATTGTCCTCGTCTGTAAAATGGGAATAAAAGTTATCTTAAAAGGTTACGGTAAATAAAATGAGAGAAAATTGTGCATATATATATATCTATTCTAACAGAGTCTCTAGCACATGGTATAAACTCTGTAATGAGTATCTCTACTTTTAGAACTTAAGTTAGGCACCTGGCTGGCTCAGAAGAGCACATGACTCTTGATCTCTGGGTCACGAGTTTGAGCCCCACGCTGGGTGTAGAGATTACTTAAAATAAATAAATAAACTAAAAAAACCCCCCAAAAATCCAACAGTTAAAAAAAAAAAAAGAACTTGGGTTAAAAGTATGCTTTCTAACATGGGGTAATTTATTTCACTTTTTAGGTAATGGATCAAAATTCTTATGTATATGGATTTGAAGGAAAGAGCTCTATGTCTGAAAGGTTTAATTAGGTCAGACGTGTTAAAAATGACAGTGATGGAAAATCTTCACAGATTGCATTCAGCTAATTACTAGTCACAGAGATCTTAAAAGTGGTCAAGAGTTTCGTCAATATAAAGAGTTAATGCATGATAAATGAGCTGAGTTACTTCAACTGCTTCTTTCCTATTGATGTCTTCACCCACTGCCATTTTACTAAGATAAACTGGTATATTTTAATAAATGGGCCAAGGTCACAACTGAGTCTTAGGCTACCAGAACAAGATAATGTAAAGTCAGGCTTGTTTCTTGATAAACTGGCAACACTCTAGCAAGAACAGTTCAGAGTCAGGGCATTCATCTCTAGGACCCTCCCACCTACCCCTTTACTTCCCACAGATACGCTTAACAAAATGTCTCATACAGAACGTAACCTCGACTCATGTTTGCTAAGAAGGATGGTAAGCGCCCCACATTATGCTAGTCTCAGGAGCAAGCAGACGACAGCACGGGAGGGAATTGTCTTACTCATGATGATGAGTGTCCACAATGGAGGTCAGTGACCCCAGCCTCTCCTCCAGAGTATTAATTCTGTATCTCATGTAGAAGGTCGAGATGATTAGTGCACACACACTGCAAAGGGATAAAAGAGAAATTCTCAATAGGCTCATGAACTGACCTGAAACCATCAACTCAGAGCCAGTGTGATACCTTTAAGGCAAGATATTCTCCAAAATTAACTTGCCACAGAGACTTGAAAAAGGTCTTTTTTCAACAGGCTGATGCTTGTCAAAAACTTGAGAGCTAGAACGGGATTTAAAATCTTCTGGCCCAGGTTCCTTAACTTACAAACAATGGCCATTCTACTAGGGTCTCGCAAAGCCTTGCCCAAGGTGGATGACCGAGCTGTGCTCCTTCTCCCCTGTGGTGCTGTGTCCCTTACCAGGAGGGCCTGGCCAGTGAGTGCCCAGTCTTATTCTCTAGTGACTCACAAGTTCCCTTCGTTATCTGCAAACAAAACTGGGCACATCCTCCTTGGTAGTAAGGAACAGCCTAGAACTGGGTCAGCCTATTTTCAGAAAAACAACTGGTGAAAGGCTGGAAGCTGAGGGGAAATGTCTTAAAGTCTATGCCTGAGTTTTCACAGTAAAAGGGATGATGGCATTTTGACATTGTTTTGGTCTCCATCCAGAGAACATGGGATAGATGAGAAAATAAATAGTAAGGCCAAAGATGCTTCATCATCCACAGAACAATTTCCTTACTAATAGTATCCACTCAGAATGTAGTCCTCTGCTGGAATTGACCCAATTTGGTCTTCCCTCCCTCCTTCTATTTATTTAAATAAGGGGATGAATAGGAAAATGTGACCTAAGCCTAAGGAAAACAAAATGCTGGAATAGGAGATAAAAATTGTCAAAGGAAAGATGTGGGTCACATGAGAGATTTACAATGACTCTTGCAAGTGTGAGATTATTCTTTTAGAGAAATGAATGATTTTAAGTCACTCATAGTAAATTCATCTACTTACATGATTGCGTAAAATATAAGAATATGGTGGAGAGTCATACATGTCTGAGACCTGACTTTGTGTAAGTCTCCAATGGTTTCTGACTGACCTGTTGTGGGGGAAGAAACAAAAAAACAAGACAGTTTTGAAACTACAACACACCTCCTTCATCCAGCGAAGTCCCTATGGGGAAGAGGTACTTGAAAGAGGCAATTATTCCCGGATAACAGACACTGAAGAAAACGTTGACTGAAGCCTTCCAGGTGTCTATCCTTGCTCTCATATCAATATAATCGGTAAACAGCTATTAGAATACTTACTAAATAAGCAATAATTTAATAATTTGAGTTTTATCACCAATTTTTGGATAACATTCTCAAAATACTAAAAATAATGAAGGGACCTCCAGGAAGGCTATTCACCTTTGTATCCCTCACAATAAAGCACAGAACTGGATACTGTTTGGTGAATGAGTATATGAATTAATATGCACAGAACAAAGACCTACAGCAAGAAGGGAGGGGATATGAAAGGCAGTCATAAAGTGAAATATGAGGGCCTTTTATTTTTTATTGAAGATTTTATTTCTTTCTTTAGTGAAGAGAGAGCACGAGTAGAGGGAAGGGCAGAGGGAGAGGGAGAAGTAGACTCCCCATAGAGCAGGGAGCACGATGCAGGGGGATTGATCCCAGGAACCCTGAGATCATGACCTGAGCCAAAACCAAGAGTGGGGTGCTTAACCAACTGAGCCACCCAGGTGTCCCTGACATCTGAGGGCCCTTTAAAAGTTACAAGCAGATGACCGCCACCACCCCCTTTACCCAAGACATTCTGTTCCTTACCATGTACAGGGAGATTCTTGGCTTTTCCTTCAGGCACTCTATTCACATGGGCATCTGCCCGAGTTGGTTTTGTTTCTCCCTTGGAGACATTCAGAACTGTCTGGGATTCTGTCACATGGAAATCTATCAAGCCAAAATGGGGCTGGCTAAGTTTTCTTCCCAATGCATTTAAAAACACAGCATCAACCACGAAGCAAATCAATCTCACAACATGCATAATGGCTGAGAATATAAATGGATCTTCTCACAAGTTGGTTTAATGGTTAGGTATTGAAATTCAATGCTTAAGGAAGTCAGAAAATTATATAAGGACAGTCTGTCCTTAGCCCACTGACTCATGGGGACCGTGCAGCTAGAACAGTGAATAATATGACTGAAAGAAGAGGTAAAAAAGACATTTTGTGTTTTTCAATCACTCTAATATTGTGTCGATTTAAGAGACATTTATTAAATGTGTATAAAGAAATGGATTTTTACCATGTAGACACGTCCTTTCCCTAAAACTTTTGAACTACCCTTTCTCCAGAGTCCCTTCTCAATTGTTAATTAATTGCTAATTAGTCCCTTAATTAATTGACAAGGTGGTTTTTGTTGGTGTTGTTTTTGTTTTAAAGGGGGGAGATGAGGATGTTTGGTGGAGCATTACATTTTAGTTAACATACAGAAATTTCTCAGACCTCGCGAGTTCTCGGATTCAGGAGTCTGAGACCCAGAGCTGCTGTATCCTTCCATGTCTTGCCTTCTTTGTCGAACCACTCCATCCAGATCTGAGAATTCATCGTTGAAATCCTGAAGGGAAACAAGGAAGTGTACAGAGTCCAATTCCCCTCAGTAAACAGATAGGCCTCTGTAACCCCCAGCCCTTTCACTTAGGCCTCACCTATAAAATACTGAAAGAAAAGAGGATTATTCCATACCGCTGGGATTTCCCCAACAGATCAGAGTATTTGATGACCAAAACAGATTTTTCTGGGCAGTTAAAATCTTGTCAGCAGTGGCCAACTTGTTTGAAAACAACAAATGTCTAGAAAAAGAATTGCTGATGATTGCAAAGTTTCCAGAGTCAAACTGGAAAAGTCTCATTAGCACTCTGTCATGAGAAAAAGTGAATGACGCAGACGTATACGAGAAAAAAATAGACGCACAGTTTTCTAAATCCATGTTCTAAATGTGAAGGTATTCTTTAAATCATAGTTTAAAAAAAGGTATTGGAAATGAAAGAAAAAATGGCTTTAACAACTTAGACACTGAAAGCAAATTTTTAGCTTTTCTTACCCCCCTCAACCAAATTAAAAGAGAGTCTGTGCTAACACTTCTGAATTATAGAGGGAGGATAGAGGGGTGAGCAGTTGGGAAAAAGCAGGGATGTTTTACTTTATATCCCCCAAATGCTTAAGAACTGAAGGGACCACAGGTGTCTTATACTAGCTATCTTTTGGTTATTTCAAAAATTCATCTCAATTTCATACAAGAATATATAGGGGATAGAAAGTTGAAGAATTCAAGTCTCTTCGATTTAATAATTATTGACTGAATGCCTATCATGTATCAGGCAGGATGCAGAGCTTGTTAGACAGGTGACTGCACTTAATCTTCACCCCCAATATCATGAGGTTGGCATTTTGCTGGATGAAGAAACTGAGTCAGAGCAGTTAAAGAGCTTGTCTGATGGCATAACTCAGCTGGGTGGAGCCCAGATTTGAAACCAAGTTTGTTGGATTCCAAATCGTATGTGTTGGCTTTTATTTTGTACTACTTCCCACTCCTTTCCCCCGCCCAAGGTGTTTTTTTTTTTTTTTTTGAGATAAAAATTTATGTAATATAAAAGTCATCATTCAAAGCATATAATTTAGTGGTTTTTAGAATAATCACAACATCAAGCAGCTTATTTCAGAACATTTCCACCACCCCCAAAGTGAAACCCTTTACCTAGTAGCAGCCACTCCTAATTTCTCCCTCCCCCATCCCTCAGCAACCACTGATCTACTTTTCCTATCAGTTTGTCTGTTTGGGACATTTCGTATAAATGGAATCATACCATATGTGGCCTTTTGTGTCTGGCTTCTCTTGCTTAGCATCATGTTTTCAAGGTTCTTCCATGTTGTATGTGTCAGTACTCCTTCCTTTATATGGTCAAATAATATTCTACTGTATGGACATACTACATTTTATTGATCCATTCAGCAGATGATGGACATTAGAATTGTTTCTATTTTTAGGCTATTATGAACAGTGCAGCTGTGAACATTCTTTTTTTTGAAGATTTTATCCATTTATCTGAGAGAGAGCAAGAGAGAGAGAGCTCAGAGAGGGAGAGGGAGAAGCAGACTCCCTGCTAGAGCAGGGAGCCCGATGTGGGACTTGATCCCGGGACCACGAGATCACGAACTAAGCTGAAGGCAGACGCTTACCCGACTAAGCCACCCAGGCGTCCCAGCTATGAACATTCTTGGACAACTTTTTATGTGTACAAGTTTTCTTTTTTTTTTTTTTTTAAAGATTTTATTTATTCATTTGAGAGAGAGCATGAGAGGGGAGAGGGTCAGAGGGAGAAGCAGACTCCCCACTGAGCGGAGAGCCTGATGTGGGACTCGATCCTGGGACTCCAGGATCATGACCTGAGCCGAAGGCAGTCGCTTAACCAACTGAGCCACCCAGGCGCCCTGTGTACAAGTTTTCAATCCCTGTACTATTTGACAGCTCTCAAAAAGAAAAGATTTGGAGATGTGAAAACCATGGGCTCATACCATCGCACCCAAGGTATTCCAGCATTTTTTTTTTTTTT